CCAAATAGTCCTGAGTCCTCAGGGCAGGCGAGTGAATCATTCTATTAACATTTATAGTCGAGGAAATCGAGGTTGAGGGTGGGGTGCACTGCATGCTTGTCATGGAGGTGGGGCCTCTGGGGGTGGGATCAGGTCACGGGGCGGTCATGAACCCTGTTGGGTTCCGTGCCAGGGGCCTGCAAATTAAAGTGACAAAGGACAGCCCAGCTGGTGTGGCGCAGTGGTTGAGTGTCTAACCAGGAACCGAGAGGTCACAGTGTGATTCCGGGTCAGGGCACATGCCTGTGTTTAGGGCTCGATCCCCTGTAGGAGGCGTGCAGGAGGCAGCCAATCAGTGACTCTCATCATCGATGTTTCTGTCTCTCTCTCCCTCTCCCTTCCTCTCTCTCTAAAAATCAAAGCAGACATATTTTAAAGTGACAAAAGACAGTTAGATGGGATTTGTGCCTTATAAATAGGACCCCAGAGAGCCCCAGCCCCTGCCCCCACCTGAGGACACAGTGAGAAGACACCATCTATGCACCAGGCACAGAGCTCCCGTCAGACCGGGAATCCGCTGGTGCCTTGATCTCGGACTTCCAGCCTCCAAACTGTGAGAAATAAATGTCAGTTGTCCATAAGTCTCCCAGGCTGTGGTGTTTTGCTACAGCCACTCACACATGCACATGTCCATGGACCTGCCCAGCGTTAATCCTTCTTGTTCCAGGGTCGGCCGTAGTTACTGTGTTTGAAGCCACATTGAAGACCCAGGGATGGTCCTGAGAACACAACCAGGGACCAGGGGCAAGAGCCTGACCCCAGGGTCGTCTCCATCTCTCATGCAAACTGGCCCCAAAACCATTCTCCTAAAAATGCACCAGAATGTGCCAACCCATCTCCGTGATTCCCGCTCTCTTAGCCACTCATCCAGGTCTTTGTAGGACAGGCCACGTGGGGGATCTGTGAGGCTGTGGGCACTTCATGTGGGAGGCATCTCCAAGCCCTTCATGACTTAGGAAGGAGCCGTCCCCCTGTAACCAACAGCCCCTGGAAGGCCAGGCTGCGATGTCACTGTTTACAACAGCTGGTCCCTGGCGTCCACTCTTCTATGGCCCCAGCTGACCCCTCTATTTATAATCCCGGCAGCTCCCAGCAACCACACAAACACAGCTCCGACAGCTGGGCTGCCGGGCGAAGGTGCGGGTCTCAGATGATTGCATTCTCTTCTTTAGATGGACCCAGAAAAAGACCTGAGCCCCACGGTGTCCCGGGTCCCCCCTGTGGACCCAATGTCCAGCTGTGGGGCAGCTGGATCCTTGGAGGCTGTGAGCAGCAGACAGCAGGACCAGACAAAAAGAAGAAACAGGGTGCCATTCTCGGTCCCCACCAGTGGGAGGGTCCAGCTCCTTCCTAATTCAGAGGGTGCCACATTCCCCCAGGCTGAGGTCTACGCTGGCTGCTGGCGGGTGGTGACAGATCTCAGGGTCATTGTGCCCAGCGGCCTGGCCTGGGGTCAGCCTGGCGTGGTGTGGGTGGAGCCATGGCCCGAAAGGCATCTTGTGGACACGGAGGAGCCCAGGTGCCTCAGCTCTGGGAGAGCTCCCCGTGCCTTTAAAAGGCAAACGCAGCATCTAAATTCGGACACACGCGTTCCTGCCCGTAATCTTGTCCCAGCTCATCCCCCTCTGCAGGCGCGTTCTTGGCCCCTGGGAATGTGTAAGGGAAATGCTGTCGCCAGGTGGGCCTGCTGCCCTCGGTGCCCTGGGCTATTTATAGCCGAAGCTCTCAGGACCTTTTCCCGGGAGGCACCCGCCAGCCCGCCAGCCCGCCAGCCCCTTGACGCCCCAGGAAAGCAACCCTTTTGGAATTTCGGGCGCGGCCGTTGCCGGGACAGGCCTGGGAGAGCAGCAGACTGTCCCAGCTGTCCTCAGCCTCTGCGTTTCCATTTTTACTTTAATCTCTCTCCCTGGACCCCTGGAGACCCTAGAGCTATAGGGCCCATGGTAACCCACCTCCACCTCCTTCCCACAGAAAGTGCACCTATTTCTGGTGTCACTCACTCAGCGTGAATGAGCCAATTCCTGCCTCCTGCTCACAGGTGTGCCCTGCTGACTGGTTCGGTCCTGGGGTCCTCAATCTCCACACATGTGTATTTAGCCAAGCGGCAAAGTCTGGGAGCTCTGTCTCCAAAATTCACCGCAAGCCCAGCCGCATCTTGCCCCCTCAGTCATCGCCTGGCATATGAGTTGCCACGGTCTCTCACCTGGGGTGTGACCCCGGGCTCTGGGCCACACTGTGGAATATTACGCAGCCATGAAAAGGAGTGAAGCTCTGACACAGGCCACAATGTCCACAGCAGGCCTGCAAGGCCAGCCGGATCTGCTCCCCACCCTGACCTGTGCACCTCGGCCAGGTCACCTACACACTTGTAGGTCCTGAGTTCTTCCAGCTTCCTTCCCTGGGACACTTTCCCCTCGATGTCCACATGGGACAGAGCTCTGCTCAAATGCCACCTGAACACACACACTCACATGCCCACGCATGCACTCACACAACACATGGATGGATGGATGGATGGATGGATGGATGGATGGATGGATGGATGGATGGATGGATAAAAGACGGAGAAATACAGATTATTGATAAATACGTGGACAACATAGATAGATGAGTGATTGGATAAATGTCTGAACCCCACAGCCCAGAGCACCCCTTGATAAGGCTCCCTGAATCCCACCCCATCCCCTGCAACCCTGTCCTGCAGCAGGTCAGGAGTGGGCAGGTTTCCTGGGACAGAGAGTGTGTCTGCGTCACCCTTGCAGGATAGAAGGGTGGCAGAGACAGGAAATGTCACCCTGGGCAGCCATAGCGACGGGTAAACAGACTCCCGGCCGTTGGGACAGGAAGGAGCCCACGAGGCAACCTCTCCGTGCTCTGGAGGTCATGCCCCAGCTGTCCAGCGACAGCTGCTCGCCCCCACCCCAGCCCTCGCCTCCCAAGGCCATGACTCAAGGGGAAGCATGGCCATGAGACCGCCCGACGCACACATCTGAGTGGGGCCACGTCCCAGCTTAGTTACCTTCCCGGTGTAAACTGTTGTACGGGGTCGAATTTGCAGAGTCGCTGGGGCGCAGACACCAGCATGTGGGGGAGGACATTTCTGCGCAGGTCACGGCCAGGTTTTGTTTGCTAGTCCCTGTGACCAGGCTCTGATTGCGTGTGGAGCCCTGAAGGTGACATACCCACTGGGAAGGGCGGGTAGGACTCTGCCGCAGGTGTCATCTCCGTCTGGTCCGCCAGGTGGCGCCGACCTCCCCGCAGCCACTGGGCCTTAAACAGGCTGGTTCCCAGAGCAGGTGGAGGGTCCTGGGGCTTTATTCATGCCCAGCCCACCCCACGTCCCTAAAGCCCGGCAGTGAGATCGTTTAGGAGTAAAAACTGACTGAACACACACATTGTAGTTAACAAAAGGTAAGTGTGAGCATCTGCTGGTGCCCCAGGAGGTCATTGGTTTGATTCTTTGGTCAGGGCACATGCCCGGGTTGCAGGGGCATGACCCCCAGCAAGGGGCATGCAGGAGGCAGCCGATCAATGATTCTCTCATCCATGCTTCTATCTCTCTCTCCCTCTCCCTTCCTCTCTCTGAAATCAATAAAAACATAAAATAATAAAATAAAATAAAGTAGTAGGTGTGTAGTTCCATGATTCTTAACTGAGCTTCTCAAAGGTGAGCCTTATCATGCACTGCTGGTGGGAATTCAAAATGGTGCCATCGCTGGGGAAAAGTCATATGGTACTTCCTCAAAAATTAAAGAAAATTACCATGTGACTCAGCAAATCCAGTTCTGGGTATATTTAAAAGAATTCAAAGTAGAAACTCAAAGAGATGTTTGCACACCCAGTTTCACATTAGCATTATTCACAGTAGCCAAGAGGTAGAAACAATCCAAGTGTCCATTAGTAGATTAATAAACAGAATTAGGTCCATCCACACAATGGAATATTACTAAGCCATGAAAAGGAAATACATTCTGGCTGAGGCTACAATGCAGATGGACCTTGTGAGCATAATATATTGAATGAAATCAACAGACAGAAGCATAGACCTTCGGTGTAATAGACATTGGGCATCTAAGGTCACAGAAAACCAGGGAAAGAGGGAGGAGGGAAGAGGAAGGACCTTGGTAGTGGCACAAAGGACATAGGAGACTCTGGCTGGAGTCCAGCTCATGGTTGACCCCAAGCTGCTTGCTCTACCCAGCCTGGTAGGCCCAGGAGGAGGAGACAGTTGGGATGCTGTGGGTCCCTGAGCACCTTAGGAACATCCAACAGCCCCAGGAATAGCTGAGACAGCACACAGAAGAGAAGGCACAGGCAGTGACCTTGACCAAGGTCACACTGTCAATCAGGGAGATTGCAGGGCACATTCCTTGTCAGAATGGGATCGGAAGGGAGTGGCCACAAACAACTGTGAATGGAAGGATGGCCTTGTGATGCCTTAGCCCCCCCAGGCTTGGCTACCTGTGTTTGGTCTCCCCCACGCCACCAAGGTCGGAGGGGAGGTGACTGGGATGCAGAAAGAGACTGAGGAAAAAGTAGACACCTGGCCCAGAGCCCATTTGTGCCCTGAGACCCTGACTAAGCCACTCTCTTCTCCTCATTGTCACGCCTTTAACATAGAGCGACAGTAACGCTAGCCTCTCTCCCAAGACCTGCATGAGAACCAGAGGTGGCCACGTGTGTGGACGGGACGGGTGAACACGGAGAAACCTCAGAACGTCCAGGCAGATTTGGGACGTGTGAGGGGGCAGCCGGGAAGCATCGAGATCGGAACGGGCTGCCACCAAGTTCCTCCCGCTCAAAAAATAAAAGAAGATGCCCCATGATTGATTTTCATTCATCTGATGCCCGCGTCATGGAAAAACACAACTTCGTCACTGAGAACAAAGTAACAATGTCCACAAAGGAAATGAAGTAGTTTCATTTAAAACGAGTAACAAAGCAAATGTTACAACAGCTACTTACTTCCAAGCACTTTTATGTTACTTTGAGAAACAGATTTTACAAACGCTGCTACAATGTTTCAGATCAAAGCAGACATAAAGCTCCCTGCGCCCTTCTGCTTTTATTTTTTCTTGGTAGAACATTTTCCCATTAAAATCATTAAGTTTCGTCTGGAATTATGACCTCCTTGAACCAAAAGCACAGTTTGTTATTTTTTTGTCTCAGGAAGAAAAAAAACACACAAAACATTATGCTATTCAATTTTTGGCTACAAAGATGTACTGTAATATGAAGTAATAAAAAAGAAAAAAAAACAATATAAAGTAAGAGTTAGACAGATTAAATTACCTAATAGAAACCTGAGACTGGGAGGCCGGTCGGCTTTATTGAGAAAGCTTTTACGAATGTGCAATCAATAATAAAGTTTATACATCCTGTTTTATGATTTGATTAAAAAATTCTTCCATTTATTAAATGAGTCCCCATCATTCTGAGAAGTAATGAAACAGCTGTGGTGGATCTCAGGTCATTTTTCTCTGGAGAACAGTCAGCATTCGGCACGACCCCTGTCTCCTCCAAATGCCGACTTTCACGTCTGGAACAAATCCAGTTTATGTCGGGGACGACCAAAGTCCGTGGTCACTGACTTTCCCAAAGAAAGGGGGAAACGCAGGTGCCAGAAGTCAGAACCCTACATTATCCAAAAGGCGTCGTTTGTGGGATGCGACCGCGTGGCTGTGATTTAAGACAATTTCTAGGGCCAAGCTGTAGGGAAATAACAAAGAGCTTTAATATCTGAGCTCAGAGCCTCTGGGCCGAGCTATTCAAACTGGGCCCTAATTCCCCAACCGAGGGTGCTCACCCTGCACTTTTTTAATGTGGCCGGAGACACCTGTCCCTTTGGAGGAGGAGGTGGCATCAGGAAGCCACTCAGGTGCACAGGAAGGGTCAGATTGCCCTAGATGTTCGTATCTGTGCAGTCTATCTCCCCGCCGCGGTGTCTGCCTTGCTGGCGGTGGGTGGCTATCGGACCCACGGAGAGTGGGAGTTTGGGCTGCACACCAGGGAGCATCCCTCCATCCCTGTATCACCAGGACCTGCCTCGGGTCTCACCTCTGCGGCTTCCACCAGACTTCATGGAGCCCCAGCTGTGACATTGGAAGGATGACACCAACCTACAGAAACGCGTTGTCCATGCAAGTGTCCAGGGCCCACCAGGTACAGGAAACCTGCTGCCCATCGGCCACCTGGCCCTCTGAGGGCCCTGCACACCTTCTCTTGAGCACAGGAGGAGAGAAGAGGGCCGGCAGTAAGTTCACTGCCGCTGGGTCCCCTTGGCAACCCCTCTCCACCACCCCTGGCCACACACACACTCTCACATGGTCACGGTCACACACACACACACACTCTCACATGGTCACGGTCACACACACACACACACNNCTGTCTACAAATATTTAATTCCTAAGCCAGGGTGTAAACAGACCGCAGAGGTGAGCAGTGAGATTGTGGGGTGACATTTTCCGGACTAGGAAAACGCTGACCATCGGAACTTCAGACACCTGCCTCGCCACCTCCCTCCCCCGCAAGAGGGGCAGGGCTCAGAACCCCTCAGCAGAACGTTCTAGAATTCCGATGACTTCTCCACGTGACAAGAGCGTCCCTGAGATCCAGGGGTGCAGAGACGGTGGGGGAAAAAGCCACGTTTTCTTTTATGAGCAAACATCTTTTTCCAACTCACCTCTATTCCCAGTCAACGAGG